AAAGAGCCGTAATTCCCATCACTACTGTAAATCTGCTCTTATTAAGACTTAGTTTAAGCATAAGGTTGGTATTGGTCTTTATTTTTTATTGTCCATCAAATATACTGTCCCCAAAACCCTGTTTACATTTTTTTTGGATTTTATGCGTAGACAGCGTTATGGTAAAGTTCTGGTTAGGTGTAGTCAAAGACAACACTTGGTTATGGTTTCAGGAAAAGTGTGTTTGGCTCAAATAATGCTTTACTTAAAGGTTAAGTGGAGCTTTGTTGTCATGGTGGTATAATACACACTTGAATAAGTAATGGAATAATCCTGGTCATGCGTTTAAAGCAATGTTAAATTGGTATTTTGTTGAGCTCAAATTCCTCCATATGCTGACTTTGTCACGCTATAATCTCCCGATCTACCCCTACTTTAACTACAGTAGCTGCTATATGTTTCCTTTTTTTACCAGCTCTCGTAAATTTCACAGTAAGTTTGTTAGTAGTTTATTTCTTTAATTTAACTCTTTACTATAAATGTCTTCTTTCAGGACTGGGCGGTAGAGGTGAAATGTTGCCACACGTTTCTTTGAAGGATGTGGCCAGGCATTACGCATTGCCCCTTTCAAACTGATATTGATTTTGTAAGTGGACCTTGTTTTGAGGTGGCTAAAATACATTTTGCTGCTGCCCCCATCCACAGCAGTAGCGGCTCTCCTGCTGGCACTCCTGTCTGCTTCTCCAAATGAAGGCTTGTCGCCTGCCATCCACTGTAATACACTGACAGAAGTACCTCATACAATCCCAATCCAATCTGAACTGTCCCTTAAGTCTGTCAATTGGGCCTGTTGACAATAACACAAATATGAAATATCATCAGCTTTATCCTGGGTTCAATATTTGTAGTTTATTTTTAGTCCTTTCTATTTTTGAAACCCACAAACAAGAACACAAGATTTTTGAATGACTTTCTTTCCAGCTGCTATTGACAGCTTCTTTTGCAATAAAACTGTTACCACACTACATGAAACCCAAAAATAAATCCATATCGTGTGCTGCACACAAATGTATCCCTTTTCTATTGTCATTTCCTTCTGAGAGAACCCATCGGCTCCACTTAAAGTACATTTTATTGAGTTGTCCATATGGTTTATAGGTTTCTAAATGGCTCCACTTCTCTTTCGGAAAAAGAATGGGAATTTAATCACACACCTTTGGCGGGTTTAGCGAGGCAGCTGCGACAGTCAACAACCTTGTCATTGCAGACTCAGGAGTGACTGCCCTTGAAACACAAAGAACTCCTGATGACATTGATTCCCTTCAGCTACTGTAGTGCTTGTTCTTAGTTACAAAGGACACTGTGCTCAAAACATTTTTAGCTCAGACAAGCGACAATACAACGACATAGTTCTCTCTGGGCATCAAAATAAGTCATTAATGCAAACCACATACCAAGAAACGGCCGTCATCACTGCTCCCTGCTCATCAGCAATTTCGGTTCAGTGTAATGATACATTTAATTATTCTGGGACCCTGCCAGAAAATCGGCAGATGACACAATTTGGTAACAGAATCCCAGTATTACAAGGTTCCCAATGTGTAATTACACAGCTGTTATGGGTGAATCAGGTATTGTATAAAGGCTTGCAGTTGATTTGTGCCATCATGTTTCATCCTGCTTTTCATTTTGAGGCAAGGACAAGCCAATACGCCTCAGTAGCTCTTATAATTATTTCTGCTCCTCTCCCTTTTCCATCCCCAGTCTCTCTGTCATGCTCTCAGTCTCTGCACAGGCCTGGGTGTCAATCCCCAGGGACATGACGCTGGGATGCCTATCTTATGCGTCTGCAGATGGGGATTCGAAACGATCTTACTTTCAATACTATTTTCCAAATCAAGACTGAGGAATTAAATGAAATCGTACAATGTTATCTCAGTCGAATTTGGTCACTCAAGTGTGCTGCCCTGATATACTGATAACACAAGCCACTTACTTTTTATCATCCACATGCCACAGATTACATTAGAGACTGTGTGTGTGCACAATGTGTAAATGCTACAGTGCCTGCGGATAGTTTGTGTCATCCAGTCCTTTCAGCTCTTCAATTAAAAGTGTTTATGTAGCAGTGTAATTCAGTGTGGTATTCAAAGGATAGATTATAATCCACAGGACAATCCCTTGTATTCTTCCTGTAATATGCACACAACAGCTCCACCGTCCCCAGACATGCAAGCTTTCGTGGTTGTCTGTGTTCACCAGATAAAGAGGAACAATGGTTCTAATAGGCAGCTGAGAGTCCCCACAACCAGTTTCAGCGGCGCACATTTGTTCTCACAAAGGCTAAATGTATTTTGAGTGGCAGATTAAGGATATTGGTCAGGGGCTGTGCATTGTCAACTCTGAAAAGTGGGGTAAATGTGTGTTTGGATGATAATTCACACATTATTATGCTCGACGGCGGACTGAAAAGCCGTAATGTTCTCGGTTTTGGGAAATGTGTTCCACAGATTGTTAATTATGGGCAACATAATCTCATTAAGTCCCTTTTGCTTTGCGACTCAATTTCCTTTACAAGAATTAGTCATGATTGAGTACTTTAGGGTTTTAACTTCCCCTTTTGTTCTAGTTAAAAAAAAATGGCCGTCTTCATAGAGCCTGTTATGTCCAATTTGTATTCCAAAGGGATGCTTGATGTCCAGCAGCAGCAACAGAGCGCTGAGCGGGGTCGAGTGTCTGTAATACCAAGCGGTCATGGCGCGGTAAAGAAATAAACATTCAGAAATGGTTTTCATTCAAAGATTGTTGAGATTCGCTTTTCTAGTATGGGTTCAGCTAGAATATTTTCCCTCTAAAACATCCTATACGTTTTCAGTTCAACACAATAGTGGTAGTAGAAGTATTCATATCCTTTACGTAAAGCTATGCAATTATTAATAGAAAAGTATCAAATGAAAGGAGTCGCTCGTAGAGATAAACCTATAGACCTTGTCCTTGGCTCTTTGAAATTTAGCTCATACTTGATTAATTAAAACATTTTTAGCTGCTTGGCTTAGAACTTTATTGTTCTGGTTCACTCTCACTGCTTTCATACAGTAGGGTTGTTTTCAGTCAAAAAAGCTCTTAAAAACCCAATGAACACTACCAGCTCATCACCAAAGAGCAAAAGTACTCGTAGTATTAGTTTGAATTATATGTGTATATTAGATTATGCTTATTATACTTATTATTATTATTATAGATACATTAACATGTGAACAGTGGGTTCAGGCGGAACTAACATGTTATAATGAAATACACTATGAGGCAGTTTGGGCATTAAACAATTAGTTGAAGAAACAATAACAAAAAGAATGACTGTTTCCAAAATATGGTTAATTATTTTACTGTATATGTTTTATCATCTTTTTAAACTATATATATTAGGCTTTTTGGACATATTTCATTTCAATAACGGATTGTGTTCCATGAGGAAGTCATATGTCATATTTTTGCAAATGTTTCTTCCCGATGAATGCACTGACACAATAACCACATTGCCTTAGTATTTAGTGAAATCATGATATTTCAGCAAATTAGATGCTGAAATAACGTACGAGTACTTCAAAATTGTACTTGAGTGACTTTATATATTTTGTTTCCACCTCTAATGTTCTTACAATACAAACACAATGAGCACAATCATCTACAGTATCTGAGCGTTTCGTTCAACATGTATCCCTCTTCTGACCCAGGCTTCCCTCCAGGGGTTAGGGGTTGGAGACGCTGAAACATAATCAACATTTCCTTTGTATTTCCCTTTGCGCTACAGAGAATCTATTTTTCTAAAACATCTAGAAAATACGGATAATTTTACACCACATAAATATCAAGGTGACCATGATCGATGTTATAGTTGCTGTTGGCAAAGATTATTGATTTTGAAAGTAGGGTACTCTGTGCCTTGTATTCTCCAAATGATCTCAGTAAATCTTGTGTTCCATCAGGGGCGACAGTCAGTTAAGGCACACTGCAGGACACAGTGTCTTTCTCTGGACGCTGTGAGTCCTTGAGAATCTCCTTGGATAGAATGACATAGCAATTGCTCCTTTGTCGGCGTGCCCCGTGTATCCATGTTAGCCGCCCTGGCTATTGATGTTTATTTTAGACTAGCAATGTGTCATTAATAGCTCGGTCCACAGGGCCGATGAATAAACTGTTAAGTCTCTGGTATTCACATGACGTTGACTTCCCTCCGAGTGCAAACATTGTGGAGAGATTAGTTCTGCTGCTGTGGCTAAAGAAGATTAGCAGAGATTATTAACAAACATGTGGGATTAAGTAGACGGTATCACTGTTTTATTTATACAGACCGCACCGAGCATGTGGTTAAGGAGGGGGTTAAACTTGGGGTTCAGCTGCAGCGTGGATAAAAACATCAGGTCTCTAACGGTAGTGGTAGTCATCGGTAGTCATGACGGGGAGTGGACGCAGAGCTGCCTGGATTTAATCTTCCTGGTCCCAATTAAAGTCCGATTTACTCACATCAGTCACAGTTCATCACAGTGATTATGCTCAAGCTGTGCAGTGAGGATGATACAGAGTTTAAGGGAAGTGCCACTAATTGGAGGTCTTCACTATCTCACTTTGAGTTCACTGATTGATATTTTCTATTGGATGACAAAGATTACATTTTGTCACTAATCTGAATAATCACGTTGATTCCAATAAAAGACGATACATAATGGGCATTTCCTTACACTAAATGATGGTTTAGTCGCAAAATGCATATACTCTCTTTTTAAACTTACATGTAACTACATTTGTATTTGTTGTTAATATTATATATACTGCAGTTTTTAGTATTGTATGCACAAAGTTACTAATTTACTGTGTACATCTACTTAATTTCTGTTATTGAGTACACATTTGAAGTGTCTATAAGTTTATTCCCATTTTATAATTATTTATACCTTTAAACCACCACATGTTTTAGGGTATTATTGTACTTTTTACTGCACTTCATGAAACATGTCACATCCTGAAGTTTACAAATAGTGTTTATTGTAAAAAGTTCAGCCAAAACAGTACTTTTTTTAATGTCACTTTGAACTCTGGGTAATTGTGATGGCCATTTTCCACTATTGTCCCACATCTCACAAACCACACACTAGAAGACGGACTGATGAAAAGAAAAAAAATCCATAACGAAAATAATCAGGATTTGCTGCCATAAAATGAAACTTACACAATAATGCATGAGTAATATGAATACAGCAATATACTTAATAATAACATATACAGTATATAGTATCTCATTAGATAAGGGCTATTTCTCAGCATTAAGTGCTTTGGATACATTAGGTACATTTGCTGATATTAAGTATATACTTTTACACAAGTTACATTTTGAATGCAGTACTTATACTTGTAATGGCACTTTTGTACAGCGTGTCGTGGTACTTTAATTGAAGATGCGCACACTTCCTTCATTATGGCACTTGATGTATTTACAACTAAACATAATATGCATTTGTGGCGGTTTTAAGGTCAAACTTGACCTTGTTGTGTCTAAAACTGAACCAAAATAACCACTTTGGGTGAATTACCCAACGGTAATATATTTCAGTTGATTGAAATGAAACCAATATCCAAAGAACAGACCACCCAAGCATAAGCCATGAACTTGCACAGTTTATCTGATTTTCAGATAATGTTATCTAAGGTTATAAATAAACGTATTGATTACCTCACTTAAGCAATTTTCGTCCATTTGAGAAGGAAGTCAATATGCACCTTGCAGGGACATGATAAGAATGGATCATTTAAGCATACATCTCTAATAATGGCATTGTTCTTACCCTGAATAGCTCCACTTTGTATCTTTTATTGCAGGTGCTCAAGGCCTGGCTCTAAGGTGCTGAAATCATGCAGTGTGTTAGAATATAAAGTCTGACCTGTGGTGGAATGATGCGACCTGATGTAGGATCGCACATCGGATGTTTCTCAGCCGTCAGATATTTTCTCAACAACGTCATGGATGAGGCAGAATATTTGATTTTGTTTTAATAAGTCCTTCACAACACACATAAGCTAAATATGTATCTGCACAGAAACAACTAAAAGCATCACTTTAAAAATACTGACATATTTGTAAACTCGGCCTTTGGCTAGATGAATGTGCCTGTGTTACACTTGTCTTTCTCTGCTCTTCATCAGTAAGGGTAGATAAAAACATTCAGTTCTTCACCGGCACGTGCAAATGTTTTGGTTTAAAAAAAAAAAACTGTTCCCAAAACTTGTTGGAAAGTTAGATGCTTAAACATTTTCATAACCTCACACTGAATGTGTATGTCTGTACTAAAGTGATGCAGAAGTAAAACAACTTTCCAGATCCCCAGGGCACTGAAAACATATTTTACTGTCCATTAAAACTTGAGGAATTATCAAAAGTGGGAGTTAAGGACAGCAAAATGGTATTATAGGGAAGGTTTTGTAAGAGAGATAGTGTGTAGACTTAACCACATAAATTGAATTTTCTCATACTTTAATTGCTTTGCCCTTGGCGACCCATTCATAACAGCAGCCAGCCCATGGGAGTGTCGCAACCCAGACTTGGAAAGCAAAGCTGTAAAGATCTAACCCTTACATGATCATCCCTGATGTTTAATTGCAATTTAATGCAGTTTAATAGCAGAGAGGTGCTGCACCTTGAGTTCTCATATGGTAGTGTCCAGTGCCATCTAGTGGTAGTAAGATGACGATAGACAGTGGTGATATGGCTCTGAGTTGTTAGGTTTTACTCCTTTTTATTTTATCTGTCCCTTTGGAAAAGTACTTTATATTCGGCCACTAAAGAAGCAAAAAAATAAGAAACTATATTTGTTTATAGAGCCATTATTATAATTGCATTGGAAGGGACTGCAGCATTTCTGTGATTTATGAACAAAATCCATTAAATGTACAGTTGGCACTTGATATAACCACTAAAATGCTATATGCTGAGCTGTGTTGAAAAGGTCCGAAGACTCCAACAACCTCATCAAAAATAGAGAAAAATAATTGTTATCAATAATACCCCATATACTGCATTTCCTGCTGTAAAGCCTGCAAAGTGTTATCTTTCTACATCCACTAAAATAAAATCACACTCAGCATTTTCATCCATCTGTTTCATGCTTTGTTTTCCCATCCCGAATCATTTTGAGTTGTACTGCCTCTTCACACGTCCTCAGCTCCGCAGCCACATCCTGCTTGAGCTCCTCGTCCAGTTTCTTGTAGTTGTAGTAATGCATGATGAAGAAATATATGCCAGGCACCAGCATAAACACTCCACACGCGTAGTACATGTATTTGTAATCTCCATAAATATCAACCAGAGCCCCTGAAAGAGAAGATGCACACTTTGAAGTTACTTTTTTTTTGTTATCCCTATTTTTTTATTGATTTATAATCTGAATTTTAAACGTATTTGTCTCCATAGTTTACAAACCTGATAATGGTGGTCCAAGAAGCACCGGTCCACACTCAATAATAGTGACAAGTCCAACTGCACTGGAGAAGCGATGAGCTCCTACGAGGTCCATCAGAACTTCAAAAAGCAGAGCAGAAAGCATCCCAAACGCCAAGCCAAAGAAGACTGCATAAACAACCTTACCTGAATATCCAGGTAACAGTGGGCAGACAAGGTGGCACACACCGTTGTAAAAAACGGCAAAACTGAAAAAGTATTGAATGCGTGGCCGAACCCACTTGGTGTTGCCAAGGATGCCAGTAATCGGTCTGATGAACATGTCCGTTAGAGCAAAAATAGAGAGTAAGAATGCTGCTGAATATTCATCGATCCCTTGATGTTTGGCATATGGAGCTAGAAAGACCACAGGCGCGAAAAACCCAAAAAACAAGACAACATTACCAACGAGATAAATGAGGAAGCCCCGGTGTTTGAAAAGCGAGAGATCTATGAACGTTTCCAGACAGCCCTGACTCTGGCTATCATCTTCGTTTTCTTTACTCAGAAGTTTGTCTGACTGTGCATTTGCTTCTGAAGAAGCAACTTTCTCAGCGGCTTCCCCATTGCACCCCGCTGGTTCAGCCTTGGGTTTGGGTTGGGCTTGTTTATTGACTGGTCTCATCAAAGCCCCAGCTATACAACAGTGCAAAACAATGCCTCCTAGGATGAGAAAGCTTCCTCTCCACCCAAAATGATCAAACAGCCACTGATTTAGAGGCGCCAGAGTGAACAGAACAACTGGACTTCCTGTCATGGCGAGCCCGTTGGCCAGAGGTCTTTTGATCTGGAAGTAGGTTCCTATGATTGTCAGCGATGGCTGTAGGTTGAAGGCGAGGCCAAAACCTATTGAAATAATACAATAGAATCAAATGTAAAGACAAACATTGAACAGCTAGATAAATAACTTACGTTTTTTGTATCAGCAGCAACTCTATCAAAGCTATTTGTTAACATTGAGTGTTACTTCTTTTCTAGAGAGGAATTCAGATTGAATGTAAAGTATAAACAACATCTTAAAAACTGCACCACAAAACATCATGTCTACCTTGAGGGCTTCACATTTAGCTAATCTAAATACATCGTAGTTATTGAATATTATTTGAAATAATGTGCCGTTTAAAAACAAAGAATGTCCAATCAAGATAAATCATAGAGCGTTAATATAAATCAATTATATTATTAAATAGTTAAAGGCTTTTCTGAGACAAAACTACACAATTACTTTGGTAAATGCAAACAAAATTGTTTAGAGCTGACCTGATAAGTTGATTAATTCAATTGTCAAATGATGTATTGGTATAGGTTTTGATAATCTATTAGAAGTTTAAGTAACTATTAAAGAAAAGTTAAACGCCAAATATTTTCTGAAACAACTATTTGAAGATTTAACGTTGGATTTAGGGACTTTTTCAATATATTTTTTACATAATTAATTATGTAATAGAAAGTTATTTGCAGATTAATCAGTTATGCAACACTCATTATTTGCCTGTATGTCCTTTGTAGTGTTTTACCTTTGTATGCATGCAATCCACCCAAGATTTGCGTCACAGTTAGAGGATCATCTCAATGAGATTAGGGTTTTAAGTCTGCAAAGTTTGTTTACTTGCTAGTATTAGCAGGATCATGTGTTAAGGCGTACATGCAGGCACGTGAGGATTTTCTACATGATTTAGACTTTTTTTTTTTTAAAGACAAGGTCATATTGTAATGCCCTGCGGCACCGTTTCAACAGGACATGGATATTTCATTGTGACCTAAGTAAACATGTACGCAGTGCACAGAATAGCCCATGTTAAACCCCAAACTGGACTGACCCTGACACTCATAAAACTCTTGCATCCTCCTGTGTCAGCCGGTGATAACAGGCCAACACAAAGCAAACATCAGAGGACAGCAGAAACCTCTAGTAAAATTCCTAAAAATCTAAATCAACAGCTTATTTAACATCATGAATTAGTCAAACGAAAACAAAACGTACCTCCAATTAATCCAACGCAAAGGTACAGATGCATGATAGTTCTTCCAAAAGACGCAAGGATCATGCCAGTGCTGACCAGGATCCCACCGACCATAACCACAGGTCTGCTGCCATAGCGGTTCACAAGTACACTGCTCACAGGTCCTGTAGAGGGGAGACATTTGTTATTCCTTGGAAACTTATTTACTTAAGTTGTACAGCACTAACGCATTATCTGTATGGTTTAATAAATTACCAGCAATGTCAATTTACATTTTTAAAGAGGTATATGATTGCAACTGACCTCCTGCATACATAGAAGCGAGCATGACTGAGGACAGCCAGGCAATCTCACTGTAGGAAACTGAGAAATATTCCTGGATCTCCTTAAAGTAGATGGTGAGGGACTTTGGAAAGGCATAGGAGAATCCAATGGAGATGAAAGCGCCAAAGACAACGACCCATCCCCAGCCTCCATCTGGTGGTGTGTAGCCCAGTTTGCTTTTTGCTGCAGGAGGCATGTTTGGTCCGACTGCTGAATAGTGGAAATGGGTAAAAGAAGTGAACACAGAAACAAGTAAAAAAAGAAATGCACATTTGAAAAGCTGTTGCTCACATGATGCAGTTTCTAAAATGTTCTACGTTTCACAAGAGCTCACCTCTGCTGCTCGTTCCGTAACACTGTGTTGGCCAGGCTATGAAACTTGTTCTTGTACAAGGCTGTGGCTGCCTCTGAAAGACCCTGCTTTAAGGCCTCTGATCTCATCACGTGTGCATGCATGACAAATAAGACTGACCATACATGGAAAAAGCAATAACCCTCCTGGAGTAAAAAGTTATTTTTTTAGCATTCAACAACAACATAACTCCCTTGAGCCTCAGCAACAGATGTGCCGTCAGAGCCTTGTGGGACTTGTGGTAGTTGAATACGAACAAAATAAGCTGTCTTGTGTATTAATTAAAATGATAATGTGCTCATATTGAATTAGATGTTACATTAGACGCCCATTTAGCCAAGTATATAAAGAAAGCCCCACTGTCCTGTTTCAGTGTATTCAGAAGAAGGATGATGAAAAGAAGTATCTATTTGGCAAATAAGGACATTCTCATACATCACAAGCTAATAAACAGATGCCCCTTTATTTTATATATATTCAATTAGCCAATAAACAATATCTCCTGTGAGTAATTGTTTTTGGGTAGTTCACCTTTGGTCCACTGACATGGCTTAGGAAAAAGCAGCAGAGTGGGACCTCTCGCAGCAGATTAATACCCAGAAGTGACGTAGAACTGACCACGCCTCTTCAGACATAACCCCCCTGGTCTGCTGCATGGTCTGTTGCTGCTCTCCCAACATTGATTAACATTTTGGATTACATTTAACTTTCTCTCACCAAATAGGTAAATGTGAGGAAGCGAAATATACTTATGAGCGTTTGTTCTGAACAACATCAGCGTTTGACCTCTGTTGCACAATTGCTTGTTGTGTAACACGCATAGTTGGCTACATTAGCTATTGTTAGCTAGAGATAGCAGCCAGTAGTTGTCAAAGCAAGTTCGATGATGTGGTTTGGTAGGTTCCGTGTGTTTGCACATGGTTCCCCGATGAGAGCATGTTTAACCAGATTACCAAGTTATTTAAACTCCACAGTAAGAGTGGCTCCTGCACTCTGCAGAATTCAGCATCGCACCTTCAGCTCTAAGCCTGCAGGTGTCAAGGTAAGCTTCTCTCTTTGTTATTATATTACTGTACAGAAAAAACACAAGCATTAATGAATGAAGGGTCTTCTTTTATAAGAGCTTAAGCCATGGGTCGGCAACAGGCGGCCCATTGTTGGCCCGCCAGCAATAATATTTAGCCCGTAATTTTGAGAATCAAAAATAAAATATATATATATTTTTTTTTATAACATAGGACCGACACATCAGGGTTTCCGTTAGCCGCCGATCGATCGGCCGCCGGTCATTATCGGCCGATATTCACTCTTAATAGTTTGATCGGTGCTCTCTATAAAGGCCGATCAGGAGAGCTGGATCTGATCGATATGGACATAAACGCGAGTGAAGTGTAACCGGACCCGAGAGAGAGATCAGATCAGCTGCTGAGTCTGATGGAGACAAGCAGCTCTGCATGATCACCTGAAGCCCCGCCCACTGTTTAACGAGCTGCATGAGAAACTGACGGGCTGTCAGAAGAGAGAGGGAGGGAGAGGGGAAAAGAGAGCATCCGTTTCTCCCGTGTTATTATTCAAAGTTAATGTAAACTTTTGAATAATGTACTTCATCTACTACAAGTAGTTTGTTTGAATGTAATAATTATGTTGTTTGTTGTTTGTGGAATCATTTATTGAAAAATGAATCTGAATTTGTTGATCTGTAACGATTATAAACTGAAGCAATATAAAAATGAGCCCCATTAACTGAGTTTTAAACATCAGCATATCCGGTCCTAGTCCGGTGATTACCTGCTAACGGAAACTCTGCTACACAATTCTTATTATTATTGAAACATGACCGGTAAGTTTCAAATTTGTCCGGTAAAATAAATTCTGTCCCGACATATCCGCTTACATTCATAATGTCAGCGGAGGGAGGGGAAGCGGCGCTGTGGAAGAGCAGAGTGGCGAGGGAGAGCTGTCATCTTCCCTTTACAAGCTTCAAACATGTATTTATCGTGTGATTTTGGAAATAAAAATGTCATATTCTGAAAGCCAATACTTTGTTTATTTAAAATCAAACAAAACACCCGATCCCCGAAAAACTATTTTTTTACGCAAATCCACGTTTATTTTGAAATGAGCCGTTGCGACTTCCGACTGATTTCGATAGAGTGGGTCACATATGGCAAATGTGTGGTTGTGGGGAACCAGGTCAATTAAAGTACTTATTTAACTATTAAATACATTGAGTTTGAGTAAAATACTTGGTTACTGATTAATTTAGGTTATAATATATGAAATTGCAAAGCAAAACTGCTGTAATTGATTTATTTTTGTCCTTTGGTATTTTTTAAAGGTTTTCAACCTGAAAGAATCCTAATGTGTCCTTGAAAAGTTGAAATAAAGAAAAGGAAAAAGGATTCCAGTTGTCCCTCAAGCCTCTCAAATGTGGGCAAACACTCAAATAAATGCCAAAAACCCAGAGAACTTGACAATACTTATCAGAATAAAAGTATGTTAAATAACACTGCTAGTTAATAACTCTACTTTACTCAGTGGAGGCTCGTCCATTGAGGAAAGGGAAGACCATCCTCCCTACAATTTCAGAGAAAAATAAACTTTGAAGAGAACAATAAATACACCTCAATTTAAAAGATAAGTCTGTTAAAATACAGATAATAGCCCTGGCTTTGGGACTGAAATGGGGCTAGAGAGGACGAGCCTCCCTTTGGGCGGGTCTAGCCAGAGGCTCGGGATTGGGCGCTTATATCATCAGTGAACCAATCAGCGGATCTGACTGCGCATCAGAGTGTTGATGGGGAGGCTTATCAGCGATATCAGAGTTTTTTTCTGAACCGGGGAACAGGGGCGCTGCGCCCTCTTACCAAAATCAATTCCTTGAATTAGGCTTTGATTATGTTCTGGCCCGCCATCTTGCGGCTCAGCAAAAAATTGGCCCACGGCCAAACTTACTTGCCTACCCCTGGCTTAAGCCATCAGTGCTCATAGCCGTGGCAACATGTTTCAAATGGGGGGTGCTGTGGGGATGACACCAGGGCCGGTTCTGACCAATTTGCTGCCCTAGGCAATATTTTAGCTGGCAATGAAAAACCTCTACAAAAGACCAATACACTACAAAAAGAGAAACGTATTTACATGGTGGACAGCTTATATAAAAAGGCTTCAAATGTATTTAGTATTGCATGAACATGTTTTAATTGGGGGGTGGACTTCACATCCTCATCCCCTGGGCCGTCAGGCTGCTCAACCACCACAAATAATGCAATAACTGTAACCATTCTCACACATACACACACTTTTAATGCACTTTATATACTATTTTTATATCAATATTTTAACTATTTATTCCCCTGTATGATTGTATGTTGTCTGTCCTATTGCCGTGTTTTTTAGTGTTATGTATTTGTTTGTATTTTTTGCACACCGGGACAGAGTTGCACTCTGAATCTCGTTATACTCTGTGTATAATGACAATAAAAGGCTTTAACTTAACTTTAACTCTAGGGTGGTCTGGGGGAAGATTTATTTTAACATTTTAAAGTAAAATGCTTCAATCTGGTGTACTTTGAGCCCCCCAATTACTAGAGACTAGATCTAGGGGGTATAACTCTAAACACCCATATGAAAAAGATTGGTTTGCATTTTATTAATCAAATAAGTATGTGAACATAACCGATAACCTACCATAGCCAATAACTGTAGGCTAACTTATTTTATTTTTGTGGTTCATTTATATCTTATTTGACCAGTTAACATTTATTTATGCATATTTTTAAATCTCCAGTTTTAAACAATATGTTTGGTTTACTGTCCTATAGTATACATTGGAATGATTTCAAACCTGTTTTTATTTATCCTAATAATTATAAAGGTCAGGACAGAACTATCCCTCCACATTATTGTAGAAACAGCTTCTTATATCCGTTAGCGCACCAGAAGCTAACAACAATCCCCGCCGGTACCGGTGCACCCCCCCCCCCCTCTCTATCTCTCTCTCTCACTTTGTCTGTGATCTGCGGGCGGAGCAGAGATTTGAGCAGAGATTTTAGATCTACGAGCAGAAATGTGAGCTCCACAAGCGCATTTTTGGTCGACAAATACAAAATGGATTCACAAATGCCTGATCGAAAGTTGTAAATGTTAAAGAGATATTTAAAGAACTTTTTTTTATTTGTAAAAATATTTGGTGTATTTGCAGATCCGTTTTACATTTGCAAATGTATTTGTGAGTTTGCAAATCTTTTAAATGCATTTGTGGATGGTGTTTTTCATTTACAAATCACATATTTACACACAAATTATTTGTATGTTCACACAAATAATTATGAGACATATCTAAGCCCATACATATAGCTTTAACACCAGCAGAGAAACGACATGTTCAAAATAAATTGAGCAAAAGCCAAACCTCACCTCAGTATCTGAAGCACCTTTATACAAGTTGTGAATCTGGAGCACCGGCGCGTGCAGAGCCCAGCAGCAGCGCGTCCTGTCACGTGAAACCGTATTAACTTTAGCTGAGCGGCAATAGTTTATAGTGACATGTCATGTTCCTTAGGGGTCATCAGAAACACAAGACCCAGCTACACACGTCAGAAGTGACAGCCGTGACTCGTTAATACAAGTGGAAATATAAAGTTGCAGTGTTACATAATGCTAAATATAGCGCAGCTTTCTAATAACTCACTCCAACAATTTCCAACCTGAATGATGATCTACTGAGTCATACTCTGCTTTCATCATTTTGGCTAGAATCCTGTTATCATGTCACTTGTCATAATTTTTTACTGATGGAAAGCTATCAGGGTTTACATTTTTCTTTATTTACACGTGTCCTACCTTTAGTGTTCTTGATTATGTCCTTAGTAAAAGTTATCATCTGATTAGCGAAATGCTAAATATAACTTTTTTGTATTTGTGATATATCTATTTTCATCTCTTATTGTGTTTAAATGTTCTGTTGGGTTCAGGGAGTGTACAGTTTTCCACGTTCATTGTTCCCCTTATAGCATTGGTTGTCAAGCAGTAATAGGATCCCTTCTAAAACAAAGATGGCTAAAACACTTTGTAGTACATACTATGAACCTGGACTGGGTAACATAGTGATATAGTTTTTCAAAAGTATTGTTTTCCCTGAAAGCAGTAAGTTACAAAAGAAGGAATTCAACCTCTACCAGCTGGAAATCTATGTTCTCCATTATTAGTTCTCATGTACACTTGAATGAAAGAAGTATTCTGGGTTGAAACTAAAAACAATAAACGCTGTTGTCATATATTTCCTACTCTGTTTCAGGTGCTGTATGATGGGCAATGTCCCTTATGCGTCAAAGAGATCTGGTTCCTTAAGTTTATGCAGACAAACAGGCCTGAGAAAGTAGATTTCATCGATATCTCCCTGCCAGACTATGATGGAGGGAAATACAAAGGTGTCAGCTACGAGATGGCCATGAAGGAAATGCATGTGATTGATGAGAATGACAAGGTAAGCTTATGTTCAAATGGCTTTCTTTTTTGTTGCAGATTAGTATAAATCTAGTGTTATGCCGTCTGGCTAACCTTTTTTGTTTTGGCAGGTTCACCGTGGAGTCCCAGCGTTTTCAGTCATGTACAGTGCATCAGGCTTAGGCTGGGTGGGTCGCTTCTTGATGTGGTCACCTGTGAGGCCCTTAGCAGAAATCTGCTATGAAGCCTTTGCCAGAAATCGCTTAAAGTGGACTGGACGTGGGGAGGAGTGCCAAACAGGACGCTGTGAGAAGAAACAATAATGACTCCTGAGCACAGAAAAAATAAAGTGTATTTATATATTTAATTTATCCTAAAGAAGAACTGGATGAATCCAATATGGTTTGTCCTCTTCAACCATCATTGTATCACAAACCTATCTGTAAATGTTTAAGACTGTTCTTTGATGAAGGGAAATATTGGGTGCCTTTATTAAAAGTGTGTGTTGTGAAGCCAATGCAACATTATATGACTTGTAACACTGTACATTTAATTAAACATACTTTCATCCATGATGAAAACATTTACGAATTTACAACCGTAATAGATGTTTATATTTGAAAACAACAAGGAAAAACATAGTTCTACAGGCTATTATGTTAAGCATTGCATCTGTATCCAGAGAAATATGACAAAGAATACAGCATATTAAAGAAAGGTTGACACAATCTAACTATCAATTATTCAAACTTGTGTTTCCTCCAAAACTCTGCGTTTTGTAACTCAATCTTCTAAAATGAACATTGGTATATTGACAGCATAGAAAACATGACGGTGGAGAGAATTGTTCTTCTACAGAACAGAGAAAAATCGCTGAAGCAAATTGAGATTTTCTGTTTCACACAGCCTCTTAGGTCAGTTGGTTTCAAGCAGATAGAGAACCGAAATGTCAGGAAGCTGCCATTAGATGTCATAGTCAGTCATAATATATGAAAGCCCTAAGAATGAAATTGTTTCTCAGGAATTGTGGTAAGCGGCAGGCATGCTTATTGTCCAGATAACATTTGACCAGTTCAAAAGGTGTTCAGATCAGAAATCCTCTATTAGTCCCACAGCGGGGACATTTACATCCTTACAGCAAGAGGGGCATAGCAGGTACAAATTGTTTTTGGTATCACCCTGAGTTTGCAATGCATAACAGCATATCAAATCAAAGGTTAAATTAGTTGTAATGTTGACGAACAATCTCTATGCTATAAGGCAGACACGTTTGATTTAAATACATTTTCCATTGCGTTATCTTTTCCACAACAGCAATCTAAATGACTCAAATTTGTTTTACAGGCTGCACATCACTGGATAATTATGTGTATACTGTGCACAGGATATTGAAACATACATAATAATAAAATACATATATATATTAGTCCAACAATAACTGCAGGGTACAGTTATGTTCTTATTACAGTTGGGGAAACAGAATAACAATGGGCTAACAGTGTTGTTATGGAAATGAAATGTTGTTGTTGTAATTCTTAATTTACAAATGAATGGCTATAACTACTTATAACTTCTGATTTAATACTCGGCTTTAGGAAAGCACAGTAAGCTAAATTAAGTACCCATAGTTTCAACTCTACTTTTTAGGTTGTAATCTAAAACATTATGCATTTTATTAAAAACCACTACAGACTTGTTATTCTTTTGTATCACATGTTGTGGCCTATACCCAGCTCTAAGGGGTGTGTGGTGTGACGTAAGACGCCAATAACATCAAACTGAGGCCCTTGAACTGTCAGCCCTCCCTAATGTTAGCCCTGTGCTTCCATGCTTTCAGTCAACAGTGACAGCACGTGACATAAAGCCTGTGCGGACTAACAGCTCATTGGTCATGCTAGTCCGCCCCCCAGCCCAGTTCAACCAATAGGATTAAAGCATGGCACGGCAGAAGGTTTCAATGAGAATCAAAACAAAGAAGACATCGTGGTTCTCACTGTTTGTCAAAAGTGGTGCGCTGGATTTAGAAAAAACATAGATTTGCTTGAAGAGGAATGTGAAGAAAGAAGAACTTGGTGTTCCATTTCAGGTAAATCTTCAGTGTGAGACTTTATCTTTCATTTCTTGTCAAGGTTAGAGTCGCTAAGCTACTTCATGACCTTAACCTACCTACTGTAAGTGGAAACAATATAGTTGTATGTGCATTGCCAAGCTGTTTCTATTTGTGAAGGCACCACCAAACTTGTATTTAATGCACTTTATTTTATAGTCATGGTGTTCACTCATATACTGATCGTTTATCTATGTTCTTACATTTCCGTATCAGACATCAATGGGCAGAAGGGAGAGAGTTGTTTACATGTCATGTTCACTGATTTATTTGCTCTTAGGTTTCATGTTACATTTATAATGGGACACAGTTCTAAGAAAAAGCTGCAAGTGCAAGGTTATAGTGTAACATAATGTTTGTAGACAATCAGCTCACCCTGAAAACACACACCGTTACAAGTGACTTTTGCTCCTAAAAGAGGAGATATCGATAAAACAATTACCAATGTTATTATATGTTATTATGCTCATTCATTTGTTGAAATATCATGTTCTTTATACATTATTGGATGTAAGTTATTGTGCATGTAGTTTTACATGGAGAATGCATAACTTGACTTAAGTGATCCCCAAACTTTAATTTAGTGCCACCAGCAAGAAGACATTTGTTATTGTTATTGAACTGTCTCTGCAATGTTTGGATCATAACATATTCAGGAAAGTATGTTCCCCTAAGGATGAATGGTATTTATTCCTAGATTTTTTATTAAGGACCAACACATTCAATTTCAATTATCAGCCTCAGCGGTACTTTGTTTAATGCTAATTAGCAAATGTTAGCATGCTTACAGGCTAAACTGAGATTGTGAACATGGAAAACATTAAATCTTCTGAAAATCAACATGCTACATTGTCATTGTTATTGTAATGGCGCTTGTTAGAATACTGACATTAGCAGATGTTCAAAGGATCACTTTGGCAATATAGTGTCATAGAGCTGCTATTATGGCTGTAGACTTTTTCTAATGCTTCTGTTTTGTGTTGTTCCCTAGATTCCTGTTAAAGACGATGCTACAACATAAATCAATGCAAGCTCAAGAGTGACATTTGATTGATTACTGGGCACCACATCAGGTCAAACATGGGTCGCTACCTCGGCACCAACTTGTGTTTGAGTTCTGTGAACAAGACTTTGAGATCATACTGCAAAAGTAGGTACCTAATGAGCCTCCTTAGAAAGTACCATTGTCTCGCTAGAACACCGCCCGGCCTGGACCTACACAGATATTCACTGCTGACACTTCCGCATCCATCAAGATTCACAAAAAGAACTACTTTAAAAAATGTGATCCACAGTGATACAAGCTCTGCCTCTAACAACTTCCTCAGAGATTTTAACAAAGAACTTAATCATCTCCAGGTTGTGCGTTTTTACTCATCTTCCAATAGGAATACATTTAAACCTGAAGCTCCAATTGGGATCCTAGAAGAGACTCAGAAGAGTTTTCATTTGAGTTCACTGGGAGGACGTTTTGGTCAATCATTTAAAAGATTGTCCAGACACATTAACATTTATTTCAAGCGAAAGGATGTTGAACCTTTGGCTGAAAATGACAGCCTTGTTGCCATTACTCCAGAACATCTTGGCAGATCACAGAGGCGCAGTATAAGTCAACGGGCGGCCAGAGAGCGAAATATATCGGAGGACAAAGACACAACGCAGCCCATAAAAAGCACAGACACACAGGAAAGCTCAGGAACAAATCCTTCCACACAGGACTACTCTGGACTGCAACTATTTCATATCAGCTCTTTGGCAACCAAATTTGGTGAGAGCTACAGTTACGTTGCTAGTCACATTAACTCAGCATTTCCTGCAAAAGCTCAAATGCAGGACAATTTGGAAACCATGTCTTCCACTAGGACAAACAGGAGGCTGAACAAGAGACAAATGCAAAACCCTTCCATCAAAGAGTCTAAGGAAGCTGAAATTCCTCAAGTCCAATCAGGTACTAATCAAGCAACAGTGGAACCAACCAGTGTCTCCAGCAGCTGGGAGGAGAGCTACCAACACTATGCAAGACACATCAATACTTATTTTGGTGCCAAGGTTGCCGGAAAAGAAGACCATGATCTGTATAGGAGAGAACACATTTCTGTGCAGCAGAAAAGCACTTATAAAGAACCCTTTTCAACACGGTCTACCTCACAAACTCAAAGTGCTTTGTCACAACTGGTGCCAGACGAACCTGCCATCGATGAAACTGGAGGCCTTTTCCACAGCAGCATTAATACCACCAACTTTGGGGAGAACTACTCCCAAACAGGCGGTTATATCAATCAGTTTTTCTTTGGTCAAAGTAGAATGGGTGAGGATGAGGACATTGAAAGTAATCTCATAACGCCATTGGATCCTGGCTCTGCTACATCTGAAAGACCAAAGACTGCATCCTTTTTAAACTACCTTCGACATCCCACAAGTGCCATCCCTGACTTTCTGGGTTCTTTGACACAGACTCGTAAACCCAGACCTGCTATGACTTCACCGCAGCCAATGATGAATCAAAAGGTAAGTTGAGGTGACATGTTTAGTTATGTTTCAGTTAGAAACTGAACAAAAAAGGAATTGTTGTCTAAAAATCTGCACACTGTGTTTCAAATATCATGCTCTGACATGCCCTTCTTTAAGTTGTATCGCATTGCTGGTGCTGTTACAGAAGCTACAAATAAACCAAACATGTTTGCATGTACATGAGTTTAATATCTGGTTGCATGTTCTCAGTTTGTCCTGAGTCGGAGGCAGGCAGAGGAAATGGCACGAAGGTTTATTGGCACTCTGACCCAGACTTCATCCCCAGAAGATCTTACTGCCTGCTTGGCCGCACTCAATGAACACCTCATCTGTTACCCATCATGCAAAGCTGTAATGTGGCAGGTGTGTTGGAAGTAATAAATCACATTTACAAATGTTTAACAATCATAGTTTGACCTCAGTAAATTCATAAGGTGTGTGTCCGTTTTACAGGAGAACATTGCAGTCACATTGTTGAGGAAAAGACGGACCTTCAGAGATAATGAAGAGCTCCAGAGCGCCTTGAGAGAAAGCATGGCGCTAATCGGCTTCATGGATCCAGTCAAAGGTCGTGGCATCAGAGTGCTCTCAATTGATGGTGGTGGCACAAGGTAAAACAAATGAAAGATTTCGAATGAATGAGTGCTGATCACATTACAGAGTGATCAGCACCAGAACAGCAATGTGTGATTATTTTCAGTATCTAGAAATCCCTTAGTGTACTTCTCAATAATAGGCTGGAGTAATTATTTTTTTATGTCCAAAAAACACCATAAAATAATAACAAAATGTCCATCAAGTCTTCAAATTGTGTTTCATCTAACAGTGATATATGTATAAAATATATTTGTGTCTAGTATCGCTTAATCAATTCATTGTTTTATTATAACCCAGAGCACTCTTTAAGATGGTCTCGATCTTGTACTTTTATACTTACTCTACCTTTTCAACTCATTATAATCTTTATATAATACATGTCATATTTTGTCTTTTTCCAGAGGTGTGGTGCCTTTGCAGGTATTAAAGATACTGGAGGCTGAGACAGGCAGGAAGATCCACGAACTGTTTGACTACATCTGTGGAGTGAGCACAGGTAACAAAGATCAGATATACCAACATTATATTATTCTTACAACATCTCAGTTCTTCAGCGTGTATCTCACTGGTGTTCTCTGCATGTCTTTACGTAAGGTGCTGTTCTGGCCTTCATGCTGGGTCTGGCTCATTTCTCTCTGGAGGAGTGTTCTGAAATGTATCAACGTTTTGGCTCTGAAGTGTTTCGGCAGAACCCGCTTGTTGGCACCGTGAAGATGGGATGGAGTCACTCTTATTACAACACTGAGACCTGGGAGAAAATACTACGGTATTCAATGAATATATGTTAATAACATAAACACTGCAGTGATTTAAGTAAATTATCAACATATTAAAAAGAGAACACAACCATGTCTGAATGCTCTGTTTTTATCCTGATTAGAGAAAAGATGGGAACTAGAATACTTATCGAAACGGCCAGAGATGAGTTGAGTCCCAAGGTAAGACAATGCAATCACAATGGTGGTGGATTTGATTCAGTTTTACAAATTTACCATGAAAGCACTGATGATTTAATGTTGGATTAATGTTGCCTAAAATGCTAAAGCAAAGCCCACTACTGTGAGTTACAGAAAACATTTAACAGGATTTGTTTTGCTTAAAGTTGCAGTTCGCACAAGTTTAGATTTTATTTTTACAGATTATATTGTTGGCATTTTCAGGTTTCAGCAGTCAGTGCAGTGGTAAACTGGGGTACAAGTCCGAAGGCCTTCATCTTCCGCAACTACAATCACAAACCAGGCTCTCTCAGCCGCTATGCAGGAGGCTCAGCCTGCCAGATGTGGGAGGCAGTGAGAGCTTCATCAGCTGCCCCAGGATACTTCCAGGAGTTTCCTTTACAAAGTGACATTCACCAGGTAGGAAACTGTTGTAGTTCTGCATTATTTTGTTCAGGATTTCCGTGAAAGTCTCAAAATGATACAACTAACGATAGAGAATATTTGTGGTAAATGTGTGATAAGGGAAAAAAATACTTTAGGTAGGTTGGGGGGCAGAACCCTCTTTCACTTTTAAACAACAATGCTTTTCCTAGCATCATTACATTGTTCTTTGGTATCTGTTTCAATGCAAGCTTTAAGTACATGCATCATTTAAGATCCTTAACCTCATTTGATGTTAAAGGTCCCATGTCATGCTTTTCTGGTTATTACCCGTCCCCTTGTGTGTTATGAAGGTTTTTATGCATTTAAACGGTCTGCAGAGTCACAAACCCTCAAAGTACACCCTGTAGCGAGTAAAACTCTAACACAGAAAATATCTGTCTATGCTGCCCCAGAACGCCTCGTTGGGGATTTCTCTTTTTCCATTGTTTACTTCTTGGGTACAGTGACGTATTTCGGGTATTGTTACGTCCGCGGAGCCGTTACATTTGGACCAATCCGCGGACTTCCTCACACACACACACACTCGGCGGGACGTTGCGAGGCTCGCTGCTGCGAGGAGCGGGACACTGTGAGCTGGCTCACTGGTGTGGGGTCGACGAGACAGCAAGACACCGTGGAACTCAGCCTGGGCACACACAAATTGCACAATATACATTCATTTTAGTATACCTCAACAATGGAATTATGATCAGTATAAATGGCCATGACATGGGACCTTTAAGTGGGAGCTATGCCCATTTTGGAAACTTGTCCTGTACACTTTTTGATTCTGTATGTATTCATAGGATGGAGGAATAATCCTGAACAACCCCTGTGCCTTGGCTATCCACGAGAGCCGTCTATTGTGGCCCAACCAGCCCTTCCAATGTGTGCTGTCCCTTGGCACCGGCCGCTTTGATAATGTCAAGAGAGGACCGGCCACCTCCACCAGCCTGAGGGCCAAAATCAGCAACCTGATCAGCAGTGCTACTGACACCGAGGGGGTCCACACCCTATTGGACGATCTGCTAGCTCCAGACGTGTACTTCCGCTTCAACCCCATGTTGAGTGCTATGGTGTCCCTGGATGAGAGCCGACCTCAAGCCTTGGACCAGCTGCAGAGAGACACCCACAACTACCTGGAGAGAAACCGGCCCAAACTGGCGCGGCTCTGTTTGGTGCTCGGGGCGGAGCGTTCAGCTGCTAGCAAAACTAAGGACTGGATGAATGAGAGGGCCTGGGAGATGAAGCAGAGATGGGTGTGAGTAGGTACAGTATAGGGTATGTCTACAAAGATGCGTAACCTGTGCACAGATGGACATACAAACAAACAACCACCCTGATGTACTGATTGAATTTGTTCAAGACCTCAAATGTGTTGCCTCAACTCAAAGGTCGTTTTAGCCACGTTAGCACCAGGGAAATGTCAGTATGCAACTTTGTTCACCACTTTTGGCCAGACTGATATTTCAACTACTTTTAGTTAAATGGCTGCTCAATATTGTGCAAATATTCATGGTTTGTAGAAAATTGAGCCTATTGAATTTAGTGAGCCTTTTTTTCTCTTCTTTTAACACAACCATTAGGTGATTTTGAGTGAAATGCACAGAAAATGTGTGCAGACTTAGTGGCAACGTCCGGGTCCGGAAGGTGAAGACATTGCATTGCCTTACACCTGCATTCTTTATAATGACCAGCAGGGGGCGACTAGTTAAAAACAGTCTGGTTGAGAAATGACTTCACACTTGATATATTACCTCAGTAATGAGTTTCCAAATCTATACATTTCATAAGTGTACATGAAACTGTTGTCATATCTTTATGCCTCAACTCTATTTTCTATCTATCAGCACTGCAAAAAAGGGTTTTCCTACACACTCCTTTTTGTCTTAGGCATTTTTCTGTAAAACGTATAACAAAGCCAGCTATTTAGACAAATTATATTAAGTTAATATCTACTGATCAGTAGTACAACTTAGCTTTGAAGTTGACTGAACAAACATATTTTGTAAAAGGAATGTTTCAAGTTTATAAGACAACCTCCAAAGGAACAGGGAAGCCTCGTCACATTTGCCAACGTTTTTGTATCACAATATGTCTTCACTGTCTTGTCTATTTCCTAATATTCATTTACTGAAGACAAATCAATGTGAACAATTGAGAACATATCTCACTTAAATATGTATAATGTTTTTGACGACTTGTTGAGATAGAAACACAGAACAAATATGCACAATTAAAAAAAAATATATATATCTGTATGCACTTTTTAACAAAGGTCTGTTTAACATGCACATGTGAAATAATTCAATATCCCATTATTAATGGTGCCCTTATTAGTGCTGTGGAATGTAATATTAGCTATAAACTATACATGTTCATGTAACATTACAGCTTATGTTTGATGTGATTGTGCTTTTGGCATATGAGTATTTATTTAAAATAAATTAATATTTATGATGACCCTTTTCATTGTTATTACAAATGTTTTCCTTTACTAAATGCTTGAAACCATCACCACGTTTTGAATACTCAACCCACCGTCACCGTGGTCTTGGCTAATAATGTACGATTTTATCAATGAGGGAGAAGCCATCCAATCATTTGAATGTGACGGGTTAAAGCTACTCCATGTGTGTGGAAGCTGTGCCCTCCAATGGACAATGGACGGACTTTGTTCCAGACAGAAACGCTTTGTGTGAGAGCGTGTGCGTTCGTGCCAGCCAGAGTGGAGATACAAGGTCAGTAACCTACCCCCTAACACGCTCTGCAAATCAACAGCACAAATGAAAAAAAGCACAACAAAAAAAAGAGAGAAGAAATTCTCTCTTAGCAAGCTGCAGTCGATCTAAACCTGATCCACCAACTAGTGCATGACATTTCACCAGTTTCATTTTTTTCCCCATCATTGTGGAGATGACGTTATATTTCTGTGTGGATTTCACAATGGTTTTATTGTTATAGGCTCAGGCCCTGGGACCCAAGCTTGGGCCACGTGAGTCTCTGTTATCGCGCCTGTCACCTGCTTTAAACTGATGGTGGGACACAAACAACAGAGCGGCTGGAACAGGTGATGATGATGTGAATCTGTGACAAGATGAGAAGAGAGTAGGAGTCTGCTTTCACTGCAACAAGTGGAAAAAAGGATCAAGGAGCAGAGAAAACACTTAAACTTCACTCAAAGGTAGGACCCCAAACAATTACTACATTCTGCATGTTAATTACAATTGTTTTAGGATATAAAGCAATAAGTATTGAAGTGGATCAAGACATTTTAGAGTAGCATTGAATGTGACGCCATGCGAAGGAGTGAGTTATTTCTTGCAGCTGTCGCTCAAGACGGCTATCAGTGGAAGTCCAGGTTTTAATGATGTCATAGTCTGGGTTGAGAAGTGGGATGTGCCCACAACTCCATCAGCAGATTTGTATGAGAGTGAGCACACGATTGTTAAGCTCTAACACCTGACATTGAGATGACTGGCATACTTTAGCACTGTTTCTAGAAATAAATAAAACTGCATTCCTCCTGTTGGCTTTTCTCAGCTGAATGGCTATGACTGTTTCCTCCTCTAAGGATATGGAAGTGAAAGTTCAAATTAAATGTCTTAAAAAACGTAGGATAGGTTGTTACTGGTATTGAACATTAACAATTAAGGGGGTGTGAGTGCATTTGACTTTGTGAACTACGTATCTTGCTTAATAATGTTAAGAAACAAAATCAGTCTTATTATAATCTGGGCTGACGATTTATGTCATTGATTAGTTCACCACTTTTGTCCAGACTGAAATATCTACATGAATGTAATGGATTGTGATCAAAATGATTATATCATAATCCTCAAATGATGAATTGGACTGAATTTCCTGTAGCGTCACCACAAGTTGGATGTTTGTGGTTTTGACTGAAATCTCTTAACTAAAAAGATTAAACCTTTTTTAGACATTAATTTCCTCATAGGAATCAGAAAACCTTATTTGTCTCAAGATGAATGGGAATAGCTTTGATAAACCCTTTCCTTGTTAGTTCCACAATCATATCAACATCTTAATTTGTCCAATACTTTGATTTATGACCAGATAACTTCAAAACCACTGAAGTTACCCTCAGTCTCAGATTATTTTTAGGTTAGTTTTTATTGGCAATGTGGATGCGAACACATTAAATACAAATGGTAAACATAATAAAAATGATACTGTACCTGCTAGACATTAGCATGTTAGCATGTTGAAATGAGCATTTAGCTTCACGCGTTGTGACTAAGCACAGTCTCCACTAGCACAACTTCTTCTTTTTACAGGATGCTTTTTGAGATAAAGGTTGGGTTTACTCCTACCTAACCATAAAGTCTGAATCACAAGTTTGATAAAGAATAATGTTTTGACCGTGTCAGTGGTGATGACTCAATGTAGCACAGTGTCCTGGAGTGTCTCTCCAGCCTCTTCTTGTTCTCTTCCTGATGCAGTGACGTCAAAGTGCAAATGATAGGTGCTCCGAGTCTGAACAGGCAGCTTGTGCGGTCGAGTTCTCCCTCCCACATGCCATCTGCTTTTAGCCGAACCCTGGGCACACGTGCCAAAGGAGACCCGCGAGCATAGAGACCTTCTTGTCATCACTGAGCTGGCTCTGTCCGCCTCTCGGCCTCTTCACTGTGCAATCTGGTGCATGGCACTGATCACTGCTCACTGCCAGGCCAATGTATGGGGAGAAAAGCCCATTCTGAGAGCCAAGAAGCTAAACATGCCACTTCTGCTTTTGTTTTCCCTGTGAGTCAAGTCAGCTTGTCAGTTGTGAACACAGAGGAGGGGATCAGGGCCAGAGGATGCAGAGCTATGAGAGTCTTAATGATTCACGTCTCAAGTGGTCAGACATTCTTTCCAATGAGCATCACATTTATCCTAAATTCTTGAGAATAAAAATCTTGTTGACAAGCTTAATTTAATCTGTAGGCAGAGCTATCTCATTTTATACCCCCTCCTTCCCCAGCACCGAGCTATTGTTTAGCACATCAGCTGGTTTGTATAAGCAGCCCCGTGTGGATGCCTGAGAGCCCACACAGGTTGGGACTCTGTCGAAAGCAAGCTTTTGTTTAACTATAAAAGCTTCTCCTGTGACTTTGGCACTGTTTCTAGAAAAGAAAACTGCTTTCCTTCTGTAGGACTTTCTCAGCCGAATAGCTGTTCCTCCTCTGGGGCATGTGTATGCGTGAAGATGTAAAATGTCTTACAAAACATAGATTAGGTCCTAATTGGAATTTGAAAATTCAAAATACAGGAGGTATGATAAGGGAGTTTAAGATGTGTAATTTTTTCCATCAGAGAATGTCAAACTCTTGTTTAGAAAGATGTCCTTCCATTTTTCAGGACTATTGCGCTGGAGTCATGTGACTGTCACCACACATCTCATATGTGAAATTAATATAGAGAGAAACAAACATTGCTTTCATACTCTGTTCCCCGGTTCTCTCCAGTCAACAATGAAGCCCACATTTTGATGTCATCAAAACCAACAAGAATGCTCTTGTTGCTTCGATAGATATGCATCAGGCTGAAATGAAAAGCCATGCTCTTTTCAGTACAAATCATATACAAGTCCCTAACTGTGGAATTAATAAATCCTAACTTTTACAGCTTGAGGACTTCAGTTTGTTAACTGTGTGAACACAATTTGTGACTGTGTTTGATTGAGAGGGATTGTCCAGACAGGCTCATGGGAGCAGGGTCAGAACAGTGAAGGGATGTGGGTGAGGAGTAGGTGGTGTATGGCGCTCATTCATTATTCATAAGCTGGGTAGGCATGAGTGTAAGTGGCAGTGACAGAAACTCTATTACTGAAGTGTATCAACTCCTCTAGGGTTCTTGACCTGATTTGTGAGGCTTTAATTGATATACTGCACAAACAAGAATAATTTGGATTTATCGCTGCATTGGGGAAGCCACAGAGATGGGGAGGAGAGAGCCCTGATTTTAAATGAGAGAGGTAGGTACTGACAACTTTTTGTTCTAACACGACTTGTGGTTCATTGCATATTACCACCAGTATTAATATGGTGAAAGGAATTATAAGACACTTTTTACTCCTGTTGATGATAAGCTGTGTTAAGATAATATGATGCAGCAGTGTGATTTAAGTTGTTGAGATGTCAGTGGTGGAAATAATTAAGTACATTAACTTAATCATTCTACATTTGTAAGGTACTTGTACTGTGGTGTTTTAATTTGATGGGACTTTATTTTTATTTTCCACTACGTTTAAAAAATGCTTTTTTCTCCATAGTATTTAGTTTTGTCAAAAACAGTGAAAATGCTTATAAAATACAATACATTATTAAATATTGAACAACTGATTTCCAACTGTTTTGTTGTATGGGCTCATACTCTGGGTCAAATGTTTCACAAAGTGTTGGAAGGTTCACCTAATAGTGATGTCCCCTCTATCTGTTTGTCTCTCAATGTTTATTCAATCATCCAATATGTAACAAAAAGAGAAAGCTTAGAAATAAATTACAAAAAGTATACATATTTATGTAGCAGAACCTTTTTACTCTTCTTTTTCTCCAATGAATCATCTCAAGACTTGTCATATTGACCTTGGGCCTCGACTAACAAACTGCATTAATTAGTTAAAATATTCACACCACAACAAAAAACAGTAAACATCACACTTTTGTGCATGTTTTATAATAATTTAATTTGAATTCATATATAATGGAAGAACTATCAGAGGATCAATTCTTCTTCAGAATGAGTGATTTTACTTTTGATAACTTTATTTACATGCTGATAGTATTAAGAGCTTATATTTGTTGTAAGAAATAGTGTATTTTCGCAGTATTGACATTCATTTGAAAGTATTGCACAGTAGATATCTTCTTTTTTCATTCATGTGGTGAACAGCAGAGTTGGTGAAGTAAATGTTCCTGTGTTTCCATGCTCTGTAAAGATGGGGACACTGGTCGAACCAGCGCTGCTGCTGCTGCTTCTATGGCACAGTGTTTGGGCTTTTGACGTCCCTCTGGAAGGTGAGCGTGTAACTAAAATTGCATTTTGTGATTGATCTTGTATTACCATTGACATTTCTAATACCCTGAGCTGATTTATTTCTCTGTCTGCAGTGAGGCAGCCCCCAACCATCCTAAGGCAGTCAGTGAAGGATCATATTGTAGACCCTAAGGACACCATGGTCATAGAATGTGAAGCCAAAGGAAACCCTCACCCTATGTAAGAGCTTATATAGCCCAGTGAACTGTGGTATTTATATCTGCAGCACTCCTCATTGTTTTTTCCTGTCTTTCTTTACACTTTCCTGAAGTTTCTCATGGAGGCGTAATGGGAAATACTTGAACGTGGCACGTGACTCTCAAACATCGATGCGCAGGCGCTCAGGGACGCTGGACATCTATGCCTGGAACAATCCAGAACAGTACGAGGCCGAGTATCAGTGCATCGCCTCCAATGAGTATGGATCTGCATACTCCAGCAAAATCAGACTACGACTATACAGTAAGATCAGTATTGGGGCTGTAAGGGAATATTTGGTTGTTGCTATTTCTTTATATGCATCACTGCACAGTGACCTACTGTTATTAAGTGACACTACATAGGTACAATAAGGTCTTTATTTATCTCATACTGCCTGTGCTGCAGCACCTCTTTTCAACCTCTGTCTAAAACACAGCTCAGTCTGCTCTGATTGGTAGCTTGCCGGCTCTGTTGTGATTGGTCAACTGTACAATACCACGTGCAATGTGGTGGAGCGCTAGCCAATAGAAGCACAAGTGTAACATAGTGATGTCACTGTGTTACGAAAAGTCAACAAAGTCAAAGTCAGGTTCCAGCTCCAGAGGCAATACTGTACTTGTCAGTAGGTTCAACTCATAAACACATTCTTATACGGTAGTTTATTAACTGCTCACACATCTACCTTTTGTAGGAGCACCTGTTTGGCCGAGGGACATTCTGGAGCCATTGACGGTCAGCGCTGGCTTGCCTCTGGTCCTGTCCTGTGACCCGCCACCAGGCCCGCCCAAACCTGAAACCTACTGGATGTCCAGCTGTAAGTGTTCCCATAGCAACAAATTATTCAATGAAGCCTTATTATGCCTAAACAGGGGGACATTTTTATGAAATGCCAAACACCCAAGCTATTTAAAAGCTGTTGAAATGCTTCTCCAGTACTTGTTTTTTACACCTTGTTTTATTTCAGGCTCGTATGCGAGACCATTCAACTGGCCCATCCAGACGGCTACCCCCACCATGCAGCCCGT